AGCTGCCTGGTAAACCTGAGTTACCAGCGTGGGGGCTAATGCCTCGAGTACCAGTAACCTGCCATCCAACAGTTCCCACCAATCTTTTTCATTTTTGGTGACCCTTTCTGCTTCAGCCAGCTGGTCTTGGGCCGGGGTATACTGTGGGAGAGTCAAAGTTAACTCAGGCATTTTGAGAGGTTCTGACAGATACCCCACTAGCAGCCCCAAATTTCTCTGCTGCATGTTTTGTGGCTTTCTCTGCTAGTCGGCTTCTCCGTGCCTGTGGGGTGTCTTCCTTTTGGTGACCCCGACAATGCATCACTGCTACCTTTTCAGGTTCCCATACAGTATCTAACAGAATCAAGATTTCTTCTTTGTTTTTAATGTCCTTTCCGTTGGCTGTCAGAAGAACTCTCTCTTTATAGAAAGCCCCATGTACATGTAAAGTAACAAAAGCATACCTGGAGTCTGTGTATATGTTTGTCTTCTTACCTTTTGACAGCTAGAGGGCCCAAATGAGAGCATATAGTTTGGCCCATTAAGCAGACCAGTGTGATGGCAGAGAGCTAGCCTCAGCGATGGTTCCTTCCGTGACTACTATATATCCCTACAGTCGTTGTCGTTCTTTCATGAGGCTGGTGCCTTTGGTGTACAGGACCCAATTTGGGTCCGGGATTGGCTGGTCTCTCAAGTCAGGTCTGCTGGCATAAACTTCCTCTAGGATTTCCTTGCAATCATGTGAGGGCCCACCTTCTCCCACAGTAAGGAGAGTGGCCAGATTTAGGGCCTGACAAGGCTCCATAGTAACATGGGGTTTCTCACATAATAGTCCCTGGCATTGAGTAATCCGGGATGTCGACAGCCATTTATGGGAGTCCCCTCGCAGGAGAGTGTTTACCTCATAGGGGACTTTTATGATCAAATCTTGGCCCAAAGTCAACTTGGTTGCCTCCTGGACCAGTAAGGCTACTGCAGCAACTGCCCGTAAGCATCCCGGCTGCCCGGTGGCAACATTGTCCAGACGTTTCGAGGGATGAGCTATGGGTCTGTCCCATGTCTGGGTCAACACTCCCGTAGCCACCGTTTCCTCCAGTCACATAAACAGCTTAGCAAGGTCTGGCATGCCCAAGGCTGGTGCTGATGTAATTGTACCGGGTTTGAGTTCTGTTACCACTGGGGCTTGTTGTTTTGCAAGCCCGGGGCGGGGGTGGGGGGGTTGGGGGGGTTGGGGGGGTTTTCTTCCGCCCATACCTCAGGGAATTGTCGAGTTAACTCTCTCTCTCTCTCTCTCTCTCTCTCTCTCTCTCTCGACTGTTTAGCCCATCTCGTTTCCCTTCCGGGAGATGGTGCCACCTCCATTCATCTTGAGGGGTTACCGAGAAGGAGAGTAAATAGGTGGTTGAGCCCACTCAAAGAGTGGGTCTTTTGTGGGGGGAAAGGGCCACCTGTGCCCCCAATTTAGACAGTAAGTCTCTTCCCGACAAAGGTACTGAGCATTTAGGGATGTATAAAAATTCATGAGTCAGTTGGTGTCCCCTCATCTGACATTTTCGGGATAGACTTGAGACACAAGCTCTGCATTTATTACCATCTGAGACCCAGTGACCTCTGGATCTATTGGCGTATAAAGTCTATAGGCCTCACACAGTCTTTCGTAGAACTCAGAGGGTGATTTGGTTTCCCTTTGAATCACTTTGGAGGGTTTTGCCATATTCATAGGTTTTCAGGTCATTCCCCCCCCGCCCCCCCGCCTTGAGGCCTTGTAAAATAGCCACCCCAAATCTCTCCAGGAGGCCCCTTCCTTCCTCTCTGCTATAGTCCCAGCTGGGCCTCTCATCAAGGGCAGCTAGTTCTGCCCACCGCTGTGGGTTTACCCTACCCTCAGGTGCCGTTTATCCTAGCCATTTTCTAGCCTCAGTTAGGATCCCGTGTCTTTCTTCAGGGCTGAAAAGGGAGACTAGTAGTTGGATTATGTCATCCCATGTAGGGCGGTGGGTTTGAAAAAAAATTGTCTCCATTAGTCTAATCATACCTTGTGGCTCCCCTGAGTACGGTGGAGTGTGTCTCTGCCAGTTTAATATATCCATAGAGGAAAATGGTTGGTGATAATCGGCTACAGGAGGCTGGTGGTAATGTCCGTCTGCGTCCTGAGCCGGGGGCTGTTGTACCTCTCTGCGGGGCATCTGCAGTGGGGGGTATTACCCCGTGCTCCTGAGCGGAACGCAGCCTCTATCTGATTCCTGTGCTTCCTTCCTCCTTCCGTCTACACGCACCGGGAGGGGCGGGTACGGCCTGGGAGGTCCCGCTGAGGCCGAATCCTGGTTGACCAGAGCATCCTCACTCCGGGACCGGTTGCCTGCCTGAATGGCGGCTCTACAATCTCCGATCTCCGGAAAAGCTGGCGGAGGGGCAGCAGCTGCTGCAGGAACTTCACCTGGCCCTGGACCGGGCGTTAAGGAGGCCTCCGGTCCTCCTGGAGCACTCCGCGGCGGGCGAGTTATCATTTAGTATTGGGGACGGGGCAGGTCATCCCCATCCAAATCCTATAAAATTGCTTTTTTATCACCAGTTAATTTTTGTGCCATTAATATTTTTCCCTTTCCCTTCTGTATACAAAACCTCGTCCAAGGAGGAGGGTCTTGAGCTAACCCTAGCCATGAGTCAACCAGATGGATATTGACACGGGGGTCCCGGCTCTCCTGTGACTACTGTATAGACTGCTTCCACTGTTTTTAAGTTCATGGTGTCCTCTGGTGGCCATCCTATTCCCATAGGGGGCCATTCAACCTCACAGAGTATGTGGAGGTGGTTAGGCATCATCTTCACCCCATAGTCTCCTCCAAATCCCTTCTTAAAAATTTTAATTATGCACTCCAATACAGTTGCCTTAGATTCACTTCCCCACATCTTGCTTACCTTCTCAGACCTTGTTCTACTTTTCCTTTTCGTTCTGTCTACAAAGTTCTTGGTACCCTAAGTACTTCTGTTATTTCCACTCAATGAAACATGTAAATCACCATTCCGCCTCCTTCCTAATTGGGGTGAGAAGAGCCTTACCTGCCAGATCCCAGAGGGAGATTTTCACCTGCCCGTCGGCGTGGTCAAACCAGAATACCATGTGGTCCAGGACAGTTTCTCCGTTAACTTTTATTTATTTATTTTTTTCATTTATTTTTATTAGTTGGAGGCTAATTACCTTACATCATTGCAGTGGTTTTTGTCATACATTGAAACTCCGTTAACTTTTAAAGTCCATTCTGCCTTGGTGGGCTTGATCAGGTGCAGATGAAAACACAGATGGGTTAAATATCCCACATCCCAGGCTGTCTCTGGAAAAGCCAATTCGTACTCACTTATGTATCCCCCTCCTTCTAGCCTGACAATTCTGAGGGGGTCAAGAATTTCACAGCAGATGGGACACCTCCTCAGGGAGGGCAGAATACCAGCACACAAAGACCAAGTTTCTTCCCCCAAAATCCTTCTCGCAATCGCCTGGTAATAATTTACCTCGAGATGACGCAGACATCATCTCCTTGTAACATTCACTGTCAGTGTGTTTCCCGTTCCCTCCCAGGGGGTTTTATCAGGCCCCCTCAACCACCCTGCTGGGTGGGAACCTCCTTACCTGAGTGCTCAACTCCCTTGCTGTCATCCACTACCCACTAACGTGAAAGATCCAGGCGTTGAGGAATGGAATCTTTCCAGAAGGGTGAGGCACCTTCCCCCCTCTAGAAGATCCGAGCCATGAGGTCTCGGAGTGGCCCTAAATGGGACTTGTCTCCTCAAAGTGAGGAGTTCCCCAGGTCAACTGCTTGGAAGGCAGCTATGCTCGCCACTATACCACCAATGCACCAAATGTTATAGCCAAATGCTCCGGGAAACAAACTCATTCAGAAGGACAGTGTGGATTGTGGAATGCAGTTTATTACACCAGCAGGTCCTAGGCAGGGTGACCTCTTTAGCCAGGGATCCTGACTGACTTTTGTGTAAACCTTATGTACCTTAAGTGTATGTGCTCAAGCCCACATCCCCAAATTCCTTAAACCTAGCCTGGAAAATGTTAAAGGGAGACAAAATCAGGTTACAGCCATGATTCATAATCAGAAGGGTCAGCTGATTATTCATTGTAACCTGTACCAACGGGCCCATAAAGATTACAAAGGTGATTGACTACATAGGGGATTATTACATTCTTTCTGGTGAAGGGAAATCTTGGTATGGGGGGTCTATCAGTTGGGGAGGCCTGTTTGGCCATAGGTATGTGATCTCCATGGCTACCAAGCACATAGTCCAAAGTTCACTGGGAATGTAAGATGGAGTTTCCTTCTTTTTCAAGATGGAGTCAGTTCGGCCTGTTCCTTTCCTCCTTCAACTCCAGTATTATTGCCCGAGAAATCTCATGGACAGAGGAGTCTGGTGGGCTACAGTCCATGGGGTCGCAAAGAGTCAGACATGACTGAAGCAATTTAGCACGGGCCATCTTTCAAAGACCATGGAGACTTTTGGCATCACTTGCTTTTGAATTCTATTTTTTTTAATGATTTTATTTTAAAAAATAAAAGAATATCTCATGAATTTAAGACAAATTTTTGTTGTTGTTGTTGTTCCCTCCCCTGAGCTTCCAGGTTGCTCAAATTTATTGTAAATAGTACCTCTTGCTCAAAGAGACGTCCCCATCCCTCAGGACAGACTGGCACCTTGCAAACCTGACCCTTGATTCCTAGGTTAGGAGATGTGGGAACTCAGCCTCAAAGACCCTTGGGTACCCACTCTCCAAAAGCAGGACTCGGGGAAAGAAAAACTAGGCAGAAACAGGGTCAAGAGGGGGTAGGCAGCCCCCTTCCTGTCCTCCCCTTGCCAGGAAGCAATTTTGCAATCCTGACCCCTCCCTTTGCCCTGCCTGGCTCAGGTCAGCCCCAATCCGGAACAGGATGTGGGAGGAGACTTCCCTATGGTTGCTGCCCCTGCCCCTAACTTAGGCAGGCCCAAGATCACCTTGCCAGACCCAGGGAACCTGGATGGAAAAGAGAGAGGCCACCATGTCCTCTTGGAACCCAGAGCGAAAACAGAGGTAGGTCCCCACCCCACCCGCCCTGGGCAGAACTAATATCAACACCGCGGAGATATACGGACAATCTGTCTGACCCACTGAAGTTCGAGGTTCAGACACTGGCCTGCAGGCTGGAGGAGACTGACACTCAGGCTGCTCCAATGGACAGACTCACTCCCGTATGTCGACATAGAAAATGCATAATGCAAGAGTTGCAAGTTAAGTTTTATTTGGGGCAAAATGAGGACTGCAACCTGGGAAACAGCACCTCAGATAGCTCTGAGAGACTGCTTCAAAGAGGCGGGGGAGTGGGGGGGAGGTCAGCATAGATGTGATTTTGTGAAGGGGAAATACATGCAATCAAGCCTATATATATATATATATATATATATTTGGTAGAAACTTCCTGCTAGTCACAGGGAGCACTCGCTCGTCACTATGAAGGATTTTAGTGCTTTTCTAGATATAAGGAGATACAAGGACTGGGCGCATAAAACTAGCTCCTGGAAATAAGTACCTGAAGACCTGTCCTGTCAGTTGCCCCCGCCCACTGCCACCTCACCCCTCACCCCCGAGCACAGAGTACCTCATTTCTGCTCTCCACCCTGAACTCCTTTCAGGGGGTGTTGAAAATCAGCAGCTGCAGCAGCACATGAGTTAATCCTTGTAGAGGAAGATGGTAGGTGCCAAGTTGTAGCTGACATATATACACAGCACAGAAACCCCAAGTGGTCCATGGGTTGTAGCAACCGAGGGTGTTCAGGTGGTCTCTAGTGCTGCTGGGCTTGGGGCATCACTGCTGGAGGGACCATGAGGCGCAGAAGCCCCAACTGTTTCCCAAGGGGAAACAGTTTTCTGCTTGGGAGGGTCAAGAAAGCTTTGTGGAAAGGAGGGGGCATTGGAGCTGGCGGTTTGCAGGATGAATAAAAGTTTGTGGGCTCTGCCTTCAAAACACAGAACCAAAAAAAAAATAAAACAAAAACAAAAGAAAAAAAAAAAAGAACGGGAAAAAAAAAAACCAAAAACCAGAACCAGGGAGATCAGAAATATCCCAGGAAACAAGTGAGAGCAGAAGAATTTAGCAAGTTAAACTGCAAATAATTAACAGCGCATTGAAGTTGGACTGGCAATAGGAAAGGGTAGTATTTAAGGGTCAGACTAAGAAGCTCAGGCTTTCAGAGAATTATAATTCTTCCTGGAACAGGAGTTACTTCGGGCAGCTCTGGGGGGCGGGGGAGTGAGAGTGAAAGCTAAGAGCTGAAGTGACTCCATTATTCCAGCCCAGCAAAGAAGTGGCAGGGTCCGGTTGGTGAGAGTAGAGATGGTAAGAAGCAGGCAGATTCTGGGTGTATTTTTAATCTTGCTGGGTATCTAATATCTTAATTTTGACTTATTAAGCTCTTTTCTGCCATTGCCTGCAGCCTGGTGGGCTGGGACTCCCATCTTTCTAGAATCCTCTTCCTGTTGCTGCTATTTGTAGTCTCAGCCCAGGGGGTCACCCCAAATCCTGAAGCCTGTCTGGTGTCCTCCTCGGTCAATGGCAGCTCCATCTCCTGCCAGCCACCGGCCCAAATCCCCAAAAGCCTCCCAGCTGACACCATCTTTCTGGCCGTGGAGTTCTTCAACCTGACTCAGCTGCCTGCCGACTTCCTCCAGGGCGTCCCTAACCTCCAGGAACTCCACCTTTCCAGCAACCAACTGGAGAACCTCTCCCCCAAGTTCCTGCTGCCTGTGCCCCAGCTAACGGTGCTCGACCTGACCCACAATTCCCTGACCCGGCTGCCCCCTGGCCTCTTCCGGGTCTCAGCTGCCCTCTGCACCCTGGTGCTGAAGGAAAACCAGCTGAAGTTTCTGGAAGCCTCATGGCTGCACGGCCTGAAAGCCCTACAACATCTCGACCTATCTGAGAACCAGCTCCAGTCTCTGCCCCCTGGGCTCCTGGAGAATTTCACCAACATGCTCACCCTTGATCTTAGCAATAACCAGCTGCAGACGTTGCCCCCTGACCTTCTGAGGGGCCCCTTGAACTTGGAACGGCTGCGTCTGGAAGGCAATAGACTGCAGGTGCTTGGAGAGCGCCTTCTGGCACCCCAGCCAAAACTGCGCTACCTCTTCCTGAACGACAACAGGCTGGCCTCGGTGGCAGCCGGCGCCTTTCGAGATCTGCAGAAACTGGACATGCTGGATCTCTCCAACAACTTGCTGACCACGGTGCCCACGGGCCTCTGGACCTCCCTGGGGAAGGCTGCCAGGAACCTGAAGGATGGCTTTGACATCTCTAGTAACCCCTGGATCTGTGACCAGAACCTGGCCGACCTCTATCGTTGGCTGGTGGCCAATGAAGACAAGATGTTTTTCCGGAATCACACACGCTGTGCCGGCCCTGAGGCCTTGAAGGGCCAGATGCTCCTGGCTGTGGCTGAGTCCCACTGAAGCCCGGGGCGGGCCATGAGGCTGGGGTGGGGAGGCAAGTCTTCATAGGCCAGTGCACCCCACTTAGCAAATAGTCCCCCCTTCTAAAGGTGAGACTGGGCTTCCCATAGTTTCTGGGATCTGTTTCGTCCAGGCTTCCAGAAACACACCTTGAACCTTCCTTCCTTATTGCCTTTGCTCACACTGTATCCTCTTCCAGAAATTTCTTTCCCCCTATCAGACCTCTTGGTCTCTAGCTCCTCCAGCCTGCCCTGGCCCCACACTGAAGTTGTCTCAATCTGGCTCTGTCTCCCCGTTTTGTGTGTGGTTTTCTGAGTGCAGGACCTGGGACTGGATTTCCTTTTACCTAGCATCACTCAGCTTGGAGTCAGGCTGGATTGTTGTTGTTAAGCCCTGTCTGACTCTTTGTGATGCCATGGGCTGTAGCACGCCAGGCTTCTCTGTCTTCCACAATCTCCTGGAGTTTGCTCAAATTCATGTCTATTGAGTCAGTGATGCTATCTAATAACCAGATCATCCACTGCTTTCCCTTTCTTCTCTTGCCCTCAATCTTTCCTACTATCAGGGTTTTTCCCAAAGAGTTGACTCTTTGCATCATGTGGAGCTTCACTAATAAATAATTTTGAACAGAAGTGGATGGTTTCACTGTGCTCCTTGCATCTCTCAAGTAAAATTCCTAGGTCTCCAGGATGCAGAAGGAGGAAAGGAGAGGTATGCCATGAAATCCCAAATGGATAGCCATTGGGATTTGATCTCCTCCTCCCCTCCCCATCCCTGGACTTAACTGGAAATAAAACCTTGACCATTGCTCAGGGTGTCATTTTACCAGTGGATTCCTGCCAGAGCTTGTGTCCTGGAGAAGGGTTAAATTAAACCTGATTGCTTCAGAGCTCCAAACAATTCTTCACGCTGGCCTGTGATAACCGGGAAGGGAGCAGATGCCCAGGGCAAGCGTGGGAAGGCTGGATGGGGCTGAACAAGTGGGCAGGGGCCCAGGGGACTGTGTTTTCACAGCTCTGGAAGCTCAGAGCCACCTGCCAACACAATGTTGTGTATGGTGGGGCTCGAGGTCAGACTGGGGGGTCCCTGGGATGTTTGGGGCATGCTCTTCTTTTGCATCTCCTTGGAAGAAGGGTCATGCCCACGTGGGTGGTCATTTCAACTGTGGCAATGAACGCCAGGGTTCTGGAGTCTGGCAGAGCTGGGTTTGAATCAGTCCCCTCAATCGCTAGGTGAGCCGAGGCAAGTGGCTTAAACATTTTTTTTTTTTTTTGGCAGCGCTGCGTGGCTTTGGGGTGTTACCTCCCTTACCAGGGATTGAACTCAGGCACTCAGCAGTGAGAGTGCGGAGTCCTAACCGCTGGACTGCTAGGGAATTTCCTGATTTAAGCATTCTGATCCTCACTTTGCTCATCTGTAAAATGGGGATCTAAAGGAATGAGCCGACCTCTCTCCTGGCTTAGTTAAGTGGCAGATTTTTAAAAGCAAAAAGAAAGACCTTGAGGACTTGCCCAAGATCACTGGGTGAAGAGGTTGGGGGGCTGTGATGGCCCTCCACCGTCTCTGGAACAACAGCAGTGAGGGCCAAGGAAAGTAGCTCAATTCTTGTGTAGTCAGCACCCCCAAGTTGCTACGACAACTGTGGGGCGCTCTTGGAGCCCCTGGATAGAGCTGGGGGCCTGGAGCCCCGCCCCGGGCACGCCCCCACATGGCCTCCCTCCATTGGTCAGTCCCCCGCGGCCCTGCCCCCAAGTCGCTATAAGGCGCGCGGGGCAGACTGGGGGCGGAGACTGGCGTCCGAGTCTAGGGTCTGCGGCGGAACCTGGGGGCCGAGGCTGAACGCGCCCAGGTGAGTGCCGCGCGGGCGGCGTCCAGGACCGCCCTGCAGGTCCCCGGGGGCCCCAGTGGGTGGGTGGACGGGCTAGAGTCCCGCGGCTTGGTAAGAGGTGGGATGTGATAGGCCGCAGCAGGTGGCTGAGACCCTTGTCCCAGTTGGCAAGAGCTCAGGACCCTCCCTTTTGGGAGAGGAATAGGGTTCTAAGGGCGCAGGGGTGGGGACAGGGGAAGAACTGCAGGCGGGGAGTCTGAGGTCGAACACTCTCTGAGTCTACTTAGCTGAGTGACCTTGGGCCCAGCATGGACCTGTTGTGTGCCTCAGTTTCCCTGTGTGTCAGACTGGACTGTGAGTTTACTGGTATTCTGTGGCTCCCACTCCACCTGCATCCCTGCTGGGGGCTGCTTGCACGATTCCATCCCTGTGCTGGGGGTAACAGGGATCTCCCTCACTTTGTAGAGGAGAAAGCAGCCCACACAGGTGAAGGCATTTGCCCAAAGTCATACAGCAGGTAATGGCAGGAAGGACTCGATCTTAGGTGTCTCTCCCCCCAGAGCCCATGCTTTGAATCACTACCATGCCCCCATCCTGCCAGAGGTTTTCTGAAGTGAAAGTGGTAGTCGCTCAGTCGTGTCCGACTCTTTGCAAAAGCCTGCCAGGCTCCTCTGTCCATGGAATTCTCCAGGCAAGAATGCTGGAGTGGGTAGCCAATCCCTTCTCCAGGGGACCTTCCCGACCCAGCAGGTCTCCTGAATTGTGGGCAGATCCTCTACCATCTGAGTCACCTGGGAAGCAGGCACCTACTGTGTGCAGTGCCCTGTGCATGCATTGTCCCTGCCCAGGATGCTCTGAGGTAGGTATTATCATTTTCTCATCTTGCAGATGAGGAAACTGAGACCCCCAAGAGGAGACAAGACTTGCCTGGGTCACCAAGCCCAGCCAGACAGAACCCAGCGCCTGGGCGGGAGCTGGGAGGGCTGGTGTGCAAAGGCCTGTCACTCTGTCCTACCCCCCAGGGTGACCCTGTTTGCAGCAGGCATGTCAGAAGACAAGGCGGATCAGGCCCCCGGACCCAGCTTGTGGGAGCAGGATCAGCAGGTGAGGGGCTGTGTCTCCCACAGAGCTTGGCTCAGGAGAGGGTAGGGGGACAGCCCCTCAGGGAACAGTTTCAGACTGGGTCACCCCCCCTTGCTTTGAGCACCTTACTCTTAGGGCATTTTGGACCATGGCTGGGGGAGGCCCATTCTACCCATTTCCCAGAGGGGCAAAATGAGGCCCAGGGAGGAGAGTCTCTCCAGACACTCCCAACCAGCTTACCTGGCCTCTGCTCAACCCTCTCCCTCTGCCATCTCTGGGTCTCTGCCTGCATTTCTCTGTTTCTGTGTCCACCATCATGGCACTCTCAACAAAACAATAACAACAACAATAACAGCATCAATCACAGCATACAATCTGCATCATTCACTGGTTCAAGCGCTTCATATACAACGACTCCTTGAATCCCCTTCACAGCCCTAGAAGCCCATTTCACAGATAAGGAGACTGAGGCACAGAGAAGTTCACATAGCTGCCCAAGTTCATACAGCTCAGAAGCGTTGGATCCAGAACTGAACTCAGATGGTCCAGAGGCTATGCCCTGTGTGTGTGTGTGTGTGTATGTCTGTGTGTCTGTGTGTGTCTGTGTGTGTGTGTGCACGCATGCGCATGTGTGTTCAGTTGTGTCCAACTTTTTGTGACACCATGGACTGTAGCCTGCCAGGCTTCTGGAGCAGACCAATTCCTTTAGAACTAGTCCTGCTGTGTGTCTGCTGTTGAGAACCAGAGCCCTAAACACCTCCATGAGGGTCTCCATTGCCTGCAGGCAGCTGCACTCAATGCACTTCCTCTCCTCCTCATCCTGGCCCAGAGAGGGTGTTCGGGCTCTCCAGCTGGTGGCTGAGCTCCCCACCTCCACCTGGGACCCCTCTGATGCCACTCCTTCCTGCAGAGCGTGGTGCAGCGCGTGGCTGCTCTTCCCCTGATCAGGGCCACGTGCACTGCCGTCTCCGAGGCTTACAGCACCGCCAAGGACAGACACCCGCTGCTGGGCTCCGCCTGCCGCCTGGCTGAGCACTGCGTGTGTGACCTGACCACCCGAGCCCTGGACCATGCCCAGCCACTGCTCAGCCACCTGCAGCCCCAGCGTGAGTTCCCCTAGCTAGTGTCCTGGGTCCTGTGGTTTTCCCACTGCCCTGCCCTCTCACGCTCCACTACAAGGAACCCCCTGAGTTGAATGTGCCTCCGCAGTCTTTTTTTCTTTTTGGCCACGCCCCTCATCATGTGAGGTCTTAGTTCCCTGACCAGGGATCAAACTTGCGCCCCCTGCAATGGAGGGATGGAGTCTTAAGCATTGGACTTCCCCAGGGAAGTCCTGCTGCACAGTGTAGCTTAAATTCTGTCTCCCCGACCTGCATCACCCTTGCTGGGTCCTTCTGCCTGCACCATCTTCCCCCCTGTTTGTTTCCCATCTTCCCCTCCGCTCCCCTCTTATTTGTCCCTCTGTAGTTTGACCACCTGGCCTCCTGCTCTTAGCTGTTTCTGTGTCCACCCCTTTGGTTCCCATTAGTCTGTCTCACTGTCCTCCTCCCTTTGACTAGCCTGATGTGCCTTGGGTCCCTCTGCCTGTCCCATCTCCCTCCCCTGTCTGCCCCCCTGTCCCTGCCCCCACCCATGCTGAGCCTGTAACCACGTCAGGGGTCCAACCCAGGGGTGTGGTAGGGGGCAGAGAGACCCCTGGTCTTACATCTGACTGAGAAAGGGGATCACCTGAGGGTCTCAACCCAGGGCCTCACCCTCCCTTCTTCTCAGCGGGCTTGTGTGATCTTGAACCTGCTTGCTGAGGTGTCTGAGCTGGACATGGGTGAGGAGTCACTTTGGTGCTGGCAGCACTGGTGGCAGGGCAGAGGCAGGAAGGGCAGAGAGGCAGGGTCCCGCCTGGTGGCCCACCCACAGCCTCAGGGTCCCCAGCCCCTTGCAGGGGACCAGCCAGGTGCCCCCCTCCCTATTTCTTTCCCCCTGTGTGTGTCTCTATCTCTTTTTTTCTGCCTGTCCCCCCAGCATCCCCTTCCTCCATGACTCTGTGTGTCCCTAGTTCCCTTGACATCTCCCTGATTCTCACTCCCTGCCTCTCTGTCTCCAGTGGCCACAGTGAATGATCTTGCCTGCAAGGGCCTGGACAAGCTGGAAGAGAAACTGCCCTTTCTCCAGCATCCTTCAGAGACGGTAACCCCCCCAGCACTGCCAGATCATGTGGGAACCTATGTGGGGGCGGTGGAGGTGGGAGTGAGAAATGCAGCCTCCTCCCAGACCCAACCTCAATACCTGGGCCAGGACCCAGTCAGGCTTCAGTCAATTTGAGACAGCACCAGCCAGATGAAAATTAGATGTCAATTAGACACCCATGTTTACTGAGCACTTAATATGTGCCAGCTGGTGCTAAGCCTCCCTTCAACAACCCATGAGAAACAGACCTGATTTTCCCCCATTTTATAAAAGGGGTGGGACTTCCCTGGTGGCCCAGTGGTTAAGACTTCTCCTTCCAATGCAGGGGGTGTGGGATCGATCCCGGGTTGGGGAGCTGAGATCTCACATGCCTCCTGACCAAAAAATCAAACCATAAACAGAAGCAATACTATAACACATTCAGTAAAGACCTTTTAAAATGGTCCACATAAAGAAAAAAGAAAAAAGAAAAACCGTAAAGAGGGGGAAATAGTGGCCCAGAGGCAGTCAGGGGGCCAGGGGTCCTTGCCTCACAGCCCGCCTGAGCTGGGGGCAAGGGAAGGGAGACCAAGGCTGACAGCACCTGGAGCTTGACCCCTCCTGCCAGGTGGTGACCTCGGCCAAGGGTGTGGTGGCCAGCGGCATGACAGGTATGGTGGGCCTGGCCCGGCAGGGCCGCCGCTGGAGTGTGGAGCTGAAGCGATCCATGAGCCATGCCATGGATGTCGTGCTGGAAAAGTCAGAGGAGCTGGTGGACCACTTCCTGCCCATGACTGAGGAGGAGCTCGGTAAGGCCAGCAGCCTCCCCATTCGCCCCTGAATCCTCCTGCCCAGGGCCCACCTCTAGAGGCTACAGATCAGAGAGGTCCCAGACTCACCCAAGGCCACACAGCAGATCAGCAGGGAACACAGGGTTCCAGTCCACTTCCATGGCTCCCGGCCCACATCCTAGTAGAAATCTGACTGCCCAGACCCTCAAGAGTGGACTGGACTTGCAGACTGGAGGGCCACAGTCTCAAACTGGTGGCCCTCCAGACCGTGGCGCCCCATATTGCAGTATCTGTCCTATGCAGTGCCCTTAAAATGGTTTAATTCATCTCATTCATTTAAAAAATCAGATTTCTGGGGACTTCCCCTGGTGGTCCAGTGGTTAAGAATCTGCCTTGCAATGCAGAGGACACAGGTTTGATCCCTGGTCAGGGACTAAGATCCCACATGCCTCAGGGCAGCTGAGCCGGCATGATGCAGCTAAGACCCAAGGTAGCCAAAGAAATAAATATACATAAAAATTAAAATCGTATTTTGGTGACTTCCCCAGGGGTCCAGTAGTTAAGACTCTGCTTTCCAATGCAGGGGGCTCAGATTTGATCCCTGGTCAGGGAGATGAGATCCCACATGCTGTGTGCTATGACCAAAAAAAAAAAAAAAAAAAAAATCAGATTTTTGCCTTACAAAACCTGATTTCTGGTATGCCTTCAAAAAAAAAAAAAAACAAAAAAACTTGGGTTGAATAGCATCCTCCCCTTTACATGGTTTCCTTAAACCCCACCATTCTCCAAGGTTCTACATCTTGTCTTCTGGCCCTGGAGACAATCTGACTTCTCAGGCCTGCTTCATAGCACTAGAGGTACCTGGGGGCGTGCTCCCTCCTTGGCAGAAAGGCTGTGAGGCATTATTTTTAAATTTTTCTTTATGTTTTGGCCATGGGGCGCAGCATACGGGATCCTAGTTCCCCCACCATGGATGCAACCCCTCTGCAATGGAAGCGCGGGATCTTAACCACTGAACCACCAAGGAAGTCCCTGTGAGGCATTTTTGAAGCACCTATTGTGTGCCACGCCCTCGTAATCAATTCTTTACTGTTATTAGCTCCATTTACAGATGAGGAAAACCGAGGTAAAGAGACCTAGTATTCGAGTTGAGTAGTTCTGGTTGCCTCGGTTCGAATCCCAGGTCAGCCTCTTGTACACTGTGGGACTCCACCTCTCTGTTCCTTGGTTTTCCTCGTCTGTAAATAGAACTAATAATCGTGGCTACATCGTAGGGTTTGGGGATGGTCGAATGAGTTGATATTGTAGAAGGGAATTCTACATTTGCGAGTCCCCACCTGCCCCCACCCCCGTGCCCCTGCCGCTAATCCACCCAGGAGCAGAGGGCGTGGCCACCCTGACTCCCCGCCTCCTCTGTCCTCCAGCGGCGCTGGCGGCGGAGGCTGAGGGCCCGGAAGTGGGCTCGGTGGAAGAGCAGCGGAAACATCAGGGTTACTTCGTGCGCCTGGGTTCCCTGTCCACGCGACTTCGCCACCTGGCGTATGAGCACTCTCTGGGGAAACTGAGGCAGAAGAAACACCATGCCCAGGACACGCTGGCCCAGCTGCAGGAGACCCTGGAGCTGGTGAGAGCTCTCGGCTCACCTCCCCGACCCTGTGATGCAGGCCAGCACGCGTGGACTGAGTGCCAGCGGAGTACCTGGTCTTGTGCTAGTCTGAAGGTGGAGGCGGAAGCGTGTATGTGCAGGGCTGGGGCAGAGGAGGGACCCGGGGCTGGAGGCACTCGGTGGGGCCCAAGGCTCAGCCTGGAGGGGCTCGGAGGGGCTTTGTGGAGGAGAGGAAGTAGGAGTTGGAATTTACAGGTGGTTAGGGTAGGTGGAAGGCTTCCCAGGTGCCGCTGGTGATAAAGAACCCACCTGCCAATGCAGGATGTGTAAGAGATTTTAGTTCAACCCCTGGGTTGGGAAGATTCCCCTGGTGAAGGGAATGGCTACCCACTATAGTTCTCTTGCCTGGAGAATTCCATGGACAGAGTAGAGAGGAGCCTGGCGGGCTACAGTCCTCGGCCATGCGGAGTCAGATCCGACTCGGTGACTTTCATTTTTACTTTTCAGGGTAGATGGAAAAAGTGATGAAGGTACCTCAGGCTCTCTCATCACCAACCCCAATCTTCCCCAGACTTTCGGTTCGAGTTCATAACCCAGCTTCTCCCCTCATTGTGCATCCTTCCCTCTCCAGAGGAACATGTTCTCTGGGCTTGATAGGTTCAGATGCCCCCAACCTGCTCCTCCTGCATCCTTCTCAGCTCAATTGATGGCAACCCTGTCCTAACAAGGGCTCAAGCCAAAACCTGGGAATCACCCTCAGCTCCCCTCTTCTCCACCTCCTCTCCCACATCCGACACATCAGTACTCTTACCTCTGCCTTCAAAGTCTACCCTAAACCCGCACACATCCTCTTCCTCCACCTGGGTGCAGGCCTGATCCCGGTTGCCCATCCTGGATCCCACAGTCTGTCCTTCCTTAAGTAGCCACCAGAGGGCACCTGTGAGCACCGGAGTCGGCCAGTTTCGTTGCGCATAACGTCCTCAGCAATAGACTGGGAAAGACTAGAGATATCTTCAAGGAAATTAGAGATACCAAGGGAAAATTTCATGCAAAGATGGACACAATAAAGGAAAGGAATGGTATGTACCTAACAGAATTAGAAGATATTAAGAAGAAGTGGCAATAATACACAAAAGAACTATACAAAAAAGATCTTCATGACGCAGATAACCACGATAGTGTGATCACTCAACCAGAGCCAGACATCCTGGAATGTGAAGTCAAGTGGGTCTTAGGAAGCATCACTACAAACAAAGCTAGTGGAGGTGATGGAATTCCAACTGAGCTATTTCACATCCTAAAAGATGATGCTATGAAAGTGCTGCACTCAATATGCCAGCAAATTTGGAAAACTCAGCGGTGGCCACAAGACTGGAAAAGGTCAGTTTTCATTCCAGTCCCAAAGAAAGGCAATGCCAAAGAATGTTCAAACTACTGCACAATTTCACTCATCTCATATGCTAGCAAAGGAATGCTGAAAATTCTTCAAGCTAGGCTTCAACAGTACATGAACAGAGAACTTCCAGATAGTCAAACTGGATTTAGAAAAGTCAGAGGAACCAGAGATCAAATTGCCAACATCTATTGGGTCATAGAAAAAGCAAGAGAATTCCAGAAAAATATCTGCTTTATTGACTACACTAAAGCCTTTGACTATGTGGATCACAACAAACTGTGGAAAATTCTTCAAGAGATGGGAATACCAGACCACCTTACCTGCCTCCCTGAGAAATCTGTATGCAGGTCAAGAAGCAATAGTTAGAACTGGACATGGAACAACAGACTCATTCAAAATTGGGAAAGGAGTACATCAAGGCTGTATATTGTCACCCTGCTTACTTAACTTATATGCAGAATGAAGTGAAAATGAAAGTCACTCAGTCGTGTCCAACTCTTTGTGATCCCATGGACTATACAGTCCATGGAATTCTCCAGGCCAGAATACTGGAGTAGGTAGCTGTTCCCTTCTCCAGGGGATCTTCCCCACCCAGGGATTGAACACAGGTCTCCCATTTTGCAGGCAGATTCTTTACCAGATGAGCCACCGGGGAAGCCCAAGAATACTGGAGTGGGTAGCCTATCTCTTCTCCAGTGGATCTTCCCAACCCAGGAATCAAACTGGGGTCTCCTGCATTGCAGGTGGATATTCTTTACCAACTGAGCTATTAGGGAAGCCCCTAGTGGCAGAGTACATCATGCAAAATGCGGGCTGGATGAAGCACAAGCTGGAATCAAGATTGCTGGGAGAAATATCAATAATCTCAGATATGTAGATGACACCACCCTTATGGCAGAAAGTGAAGAGGAACTACAGAGCCTCTTGATGAAAGAGAGGAGTGAAAAAGCTGGCTTAAAATTCAGCATTCAGAATACCAAGATCATGGCAGCCAGTCCCATCACTTCATGGCCAATAGAGGGGAAACAATGGAAACAGTGACAGACTATTTTCTTGGGCTCCAAAAATGGCAGATGGTGACTGCAGCCATGAAATTAAAATATGCTTGCTCCATGGAAAAAAAGCTATGACCAACCTAGACAGCATATTAAAAAGCAGAGATATTACTGGTCCATATAGTCAAAGCTATGGTTTTTCCAATAGTCATGTATATATATGAGAGCTGGGCCATAAAGAATGCTGAGCACCAAAGAATTGATGCTTTTGAACTGTGGTGTTGGAGAAGACTCTTGGAGAGTCCCTGGACAGCAAGGAGATCAAACCAGTTAATCCTAAAGGAAATCAGTCCTGAATATTCATTGGAAAGTCTGATGCTGAAGCTAAAGCTCCAATACTTGGGCCACCTGATGCGAAGAACTGACTCATTGGAAAAGACCCTGATGTTGGGAAAGATTGAAGGCGGGAGGAGAAAGGGATGACAGAAGATGAGATGGTTGGATGGCATCACTGACTTGATGGACATGAGTTTGAGCAAGCTCCAGGAGTTAGTGATGGACAGGGAAGCCTGGCATGCTGCAGTCTATGGGGTCATGACTGAGTGATTGAACTGACTGAATGTCCCCAAGGTTCAGCCCTGTTTTAGCCTGTCAGCACTTCCTTCCTCTTTAAGGTGACATAATACATTCACCCCTTGGAATCTGTGAGAGATTTATTCCAGGACCACCCCCCACGGATACCAAAATCCACAGATGCTCAAATCACTTCTGTAAAGTGGCCTAGTACGGTTTGCCCTCTGCATCCCCCAGTTCTGCATCTGTGGGTTCAAGCAACCCTGAATCATGGTTCAATCCACAGATGCAGGACCTACAAATATGGAGGGTAGACTGTGTTCTGTTGTATGGATGGACTGCAGTTTATTTCTATTAATCATCTCATACCTGCCCTGTCCTGTGAACTAAAGGTACAGTGTCCCCCCTCCCCCAACCAGGACATTCACAGTCCAGTAGGGGGACAAGGGTCATGACAGGAAAGCATGCTGGATGCTGTGAGACCCAGAGGAGGGGTCCAACCAGGCTTGGGGGCGGGAAGGCTTCTTGGAGGAGGCGACATTTACAATGAACTGGTATGAACCTGGCAGGGAGATGGGTGGCGGGAAGAGTGTGCCTGAGACACCAGCCTGGGCAGAGGGCTGGCAGTGAGTCTGAGCTTCAGGGGAACTGCAGGTCACAGGTTTTAGCTAAGGTCAGGGAAGAGACTAGATGGGTCAGCCAAGCTGGATCAGCAGGCCATGAAGGTTTGCATCTAGTGCTTTTTGAGGCCAGATCCAGACTGGGGTCCTGGTTCCCCCAACTCTCCAGCCCCTCCAGCTCTGATTATCATGATCCTGGTTCGCACAGATCCACCGCATGCAGTGCGGAGTGACCCCCATCACCCCCGCCCGCCCCGGGAAGGTGCATGAGCTGTGGGAGGACTGGAGCCAGCGCCCCCTAGAGAACGGCCGGAGGCGCCACAGCCAGGTAGGATGGGGTGGGGGGTGGGTGGGGGATGGGAGGAGGAGGGGAGGGAAGGGAGTGGGCTCTGGGTAGGTCCAGAGCTGCCAGGCTCCAATCAAGTGCTGAGGTCAGCTGGCAGCTGGTTGGAGTGTCTGCAGGGAAACTGAGGCAGATAGGGGTCCCGGCAGGGGTCCATCCGTGACACCGAGGACCCGGCCCTCTGCTCCCACCTATCCCCACCCACGCCACCCACAGGCGGAGCTGGAGACCCTGGTGCTGTCCCGCAGCCTGATGCGGGAGCTGCAGAGTACCGTGGACGCGCTGGAGACCAGTGTGAGGGGCCTCCCCCCCAGCGCCCAGGAGAAGGTGGCTGAGGTGCGGCGCAGCGTGGACGCCCTGCAGGTAGCCTTTGCCGACGCCCGCCGCTTCGGAGACTTGCCAGCGGCCGTGTTGGCCGAGGGCCGGGGCAGCATGGCCCGGGCCCACGCGTGCGTGGACGAGCTGCTGGAGCTGGTGATACAGGCCGTGCCCCTGCCCTGGCTGGTGGGGCCCTTCGCACCCATCCTCGTGGAGCGGCCCGAACCTCCGCCTGACCTGGAGGCCCTGGTGGACGAGGTCGTCGGGGGGCCTGACCCCCGCTGGGCGCACCTGGACTGGCCAGCCCAGCAGAGAGCATGGCAGGCCCAGCACGGGGAGGGAACGGTCCTCTCGGGGAACATTCCTGAGGAGGAACCTGAGCCCCCCAGCCGCCCCAAGCACACTCTGATGCCTGAGCTGGACTTTTGACGCGATGGAACCGCATAGGCAGCTGGAGGCCGTCCTGCACCAGAGAGCCCTGCTGCCCCCTAGCGGCCATGCGTCAGCACTACTAACCGAAGCCTTGGTCTTGGCTCTTGCGTGGAGTTGGGGACAGAACTCCGAATCCTAGACTGAAGTCACTGATGTCAGATCGCCCCTAATATTTCCCATATGAGGACTTGAACGTAACTCAGGCTGACTAGCCCCAAGCTGGTTTCACTGGCTGTGGTCCCCATTGCTCCACCCTAAGAAGCTGATCAAAACTCCCCAGAGGATCACATGTTTTGCCCATGTGATAGAAGCATAGAGGCACATGCTTCTGTCTGGAGCTTTGAAAAGTGAGTGTCCTTTTCCTCCCCCAGCTTTTCCATCTCGGACTGAGGGGTCCTCAGCTGGACCTGCCGCCCCCACTTGCTTAGCCATTTGGCATTTACTCTCCAGAATAAAGAGTATTGGTGTTGTCCAGAGGCCAGTGCCCTCTGTTCCAGCCGAGGTGGGTCTCAGTGGTGGGGTGCTGGGGGCTTCGGAGGTGTGCAGCCATATCACACGAGCCGGGGTTCGAGACTTGAATGATGCCACCCTGATGAGCTTGACCTCCTGTCTGGAGTTTCACTGTGAGTGCCCCACCCACCCGGGTGAAGCATTCAGATGTCGCTTCCTGGAATGGAAGTCATTCACACTTTAATATAAATGAATGTCTGGGAAACTGCAAGGAGCAGGATCAAGAGGAGGAGGGATCAGAGGGCGCAGCCACTCCTATGCCCATCTCCCTGTGGCTTTTCTGGCTGCACCGGTCAGGATGGGGGAGACAGAGGCAGGGCAAGGGCCACAGGCCAGTCTCATGGGGGCCCTCCTGTCCTCTGACCGCATTTTTGGCTGGCCCTGAGGCCGCTCAGGGTGTTGGGAAACCACAGTCTTATGTGGTAAGGTCAGGGTGGCCTCTGGCTTCCCTGGGATCTGGCCCAGGGGTGACTGGGAGTCCCAGCCAATTTGCACCAGCTAGATTCACCTCCCTGCCACTGCCCAGGAACATCCCTGTTGCTCTCAGACCAACTATCTTCACTCCTCACCCTGGCATTTGAGGACTTCAGTTTCATCCTTGGGACGACTTAGACACTGCTGTGGTCCCAAGGAGCTGTGCACATCTTCCCACTTTAGGGCCGTTGTTCAGGCTGTGCCTGGAACACCTTCCCACCCTCCCATCTTTCTCTTGGCTACATCTGATCCATCCTAAAGCCCAGCCCCAGTGCCACCTCCTCCAGGAAGCCTTCCCTGACTCTACTCCTGTGGGATATCTCCAACCCTCCATAGCCCACCTTTTTGGAGCTCCAAGTCCTTTCTGTATATAAACCACAGGCAGCCTTGGCTCCTCTTTCCCTGAGAGGCTGGGGCTCCTGGAGGGCCAGGCTCAGTGAGAATGAACAGAATGATACATGGAAAGAGTGTGTGGCAGAGACTTGGCTGTGGGGCATCAGTTTGACTAGAACTGAAGGCAGAGAAAGAGCCTGAGGTAAGTCCTCAAAACTGGGGGAAGGGAGCAGTAGTGAAGGCCCTGGGGCTGAGTCCCCACCTTGCTTACAAATGGATGGGTCAGCGAGTGAGCCTCTCTGAAGCTCAGTTTTCTCCTCTGTGAAATGGGTATGAAAATAGGAGTAAGGCAGCAGTGCTCATGCCTGTGCAAAGGCCCTGGGGCAGGACTGTGCCTAGTGTCCTGGAGGAGCAGTAAGGAGGCTTGTGTGGAGCAGAGTGAGGAGGGGGAGAGACAGGGAGGAGGGGAGGACAGGGAGGGGATGGGGAAGGAGTTGTGCAGCCTGTGGGTGGTGGGATAGACTTGGGTTTTTACCCCCAGGGAGGTGGGGAGGAGGGCTGTGGCCAGAGGAGGGATGGGATCTGACTCAGTGTTTATGATCATTTTTGTTATTTTTGCTGGGTTGCTCCCCATTTGCTGCACTGCAGCAGCCCTGTGGGGAGGGGGAGGGGCTCACCCTGGGTTTCCCACCCCCGCTTCCCTGCCACCTTTGGGAAGCATTGGCTGGGGAGAGGAGAGAGTTTGGGAGATGCCCTTGTTTTGCTCCCCAGCTGTTTGGCAAACACAGTGATGGCTCCAAGGAAACGACCCAGGGGTCATCAGGCCCAGTGGCTAGACCCTCCCTCCTCCCAGCTTAGTGCCCAGAGCCACCAACTGGGTCTGTCCCCCCACCCCCACCAGCACACAGCTGGGATCCCTGTCCCAGGGGCAGACAGGGGCGTTCAAAGGGGGCTTGGCCATCATTTCTCTGCTTGTCTACCCACCCATCCCCTTCACAGACAACCTGCAGGTCTGGGTTCAAATCCTATCTCTGCCAATTCCCAGCTCTGCAGCCTCAGGCACAGGATGCCTTTTCCAGGAAGCCACCCTGGGTTGACCCAAGCCCACCAGGCCCAGATCTCACTCTTGGGGTATCCTCCAGTTCAGTTGGTGTCCTGTCTGGGTCTGTATTTAGGCCCTTTCTCAAGGGAAGTCCTTTCTGGGGAGTGACACATCCCCTCCCTGCCCCAGACAGACCCTGCTCCTCTCTTTCTCCCTGGACAATGCTAAGCTGATGTCTGTTGAACACCTGCTACGTACCAGACACTGGGATCAACAGGTTACATGTGTGACCTCATTTCATGTTCACAACCACCCTCTGAGTTGGCCCATTTAGCCAAACATTTCTTAAGTGCCAACTGTGTGCTGGGTGCCATCCTGTTGCAGGGAACAAAAGACAGGCCTGGTGGATGTGAGGGAGGAAGTGATGGGGGTGTCTGGGGAAGATGCTCCAGGCAGAAGGAATAATAGCAGGTGCAAAGGTCCTGGAGCAGGACCAGGCCTAGCAATCTGGAGGAACAGAGAGGAGGCCTGTGTGGTTGAAGCGTGATGAGGGAGGGGGAAAGAGGGAGGAAGCAAGACCTTGTGGGCCCTGGTGAGGTGTCTGGAGGGGCAGCTGAAGCACACAGACAGTAACTGGCCAAGGCAAGGTGGCCCCGCAAAGCAACTGGAAGACGCCCATCACCCAGGCAGACACCAGAGGCCCAGAGGGTAAACAGGCTGTGCCTCGAGGGTATGGGACGACCCGTGAATCACTCAGCCTGGTAGGGGCAGGTGCTGTGGGCAGAGGCTGCCGGGTGCTGGGAGCGGGGGAAAGGTGCTGGGCGCTGGGCCCGCGCTGGGCCCACGCTGGGCCGGTCGGGCAGGCGGGCAGTCACGTGACCACCCAGAGCCCTCCCCCAGCCCACTGGCTGCCTGCCTCAGCCAGCCAGGCCCGCACCACCCCAGACCCTATAAGGCCTGGGAGCTGAGAGCCCAGCTGCCGGCTACACCACCTGTCACTCCAAGGGACCTCCGCACGGTCCAGGTGAGCAATGCCAGGGAGAGGCCGGCCTCCGGGCAGGAGCTGGGGGACTGCTCGGGGTTATGGGTGTCGGGCAGGAGGCCCGGGAGCCCCCATTCACAGCCCTCCCCCATCTCTACCTCCTTCCAGCTGCCTAGAGGGTTACCATGTCTGCTCAAGATGGAGGCCAGGATCCCCCCAAACCCAAGGGCAAGGTGAGGGCAGACGTGGGAGGGGACGACCCCAGCTGGGCCCTGAGAAGCCCCCAGAACCTTAGGGAGGTGACCTCCATAGTCCTGGGGTCTGAAGGGGCTTCCCGGGTCGGTTGGGAGGGCTCTGAGAGCTACCAGGCCAGTCTTCCATCTGGTCCCCAGCTGGAGGGTGAGGGGTGGAAGGATGCACTCAAACCTCAGTTCTTCCCCTGCTGTGTGACCTTGGGCCAGCCTCGGCCCCTCTCTGAGCCTCAGTCTCCCCATCTGTAAGATGTGGACCCTGAAAGGAAAAGGTCTTTAGAGACCCAGAGGATTACTTCCTCTGTCCCCAGGAGGTAGACTGAACCTGCCCATTGCTCAGGTGAGGAAACTGAGGCTCAGAGTGGTTGGGACACTTTCCTGAGGTCACCCAGGAGCAAGGGTCCGGGGCGGTCTAGGAATCCAGGGCTGTCTGATGTGTCCCTTGCCCCGCCCCACCACACCTGGCTCTGCTCACACACCCCCCACCCCATGTAGACCCTGGGCAGCTTCTTTGGGTCCCTGCCTGGCTTCAGTGCTGCCCGGAACCTGGTGGCCAACGCCCACAGCTCAGCAAGAGAGGCCCGGCCAGCTGCCGAGACTGCAGGCACTCCAGCTGAGGAGGCTGCCCAGCCCCAGGCTCAGGGTGAGTGAACAGTTCCATGGACGAGGTGGGGCGCAGGATGTGGACCCCAGAAGGGACTTCTGCTGACCTTGGGGGTGCTTCTTATGTGCCTGTGTCACCTCAAAAGACCCTGTGAGGCTGGCATGCTCATTTAGTGCCAGGTGGGGACTCAAGGCATCAATACGAGTGACCTGAGGGGGCACAAGTCAGCCAGAATAGGGGCATGGACACAGCCATGCTCCCATGTTCTCAACGCCCCCTCCGCCTTCCATCACCCCATTTCTGATGTACCGTGGGCGTTCCACAGGTCTAAGCTCCTCTGAGATTTTGATCCTGGTTTCAGAGGGGAACAACAGCTTCCCTGGGATCACACAGCCTCCAGTTGCTCAGCCAGAGTGCTTGGGGCAGCCCTAGCCCCAGAGCCTGAAGAGGGGCTGGAGCAGGGGAGTGCAGGCTGAGGTGGCAGCTCTGGGCGCAGAGCCCCAAGCAGCTGATTTCTGCTCTGTATATCCAGGCTGGGCAGGCAGCTGCCAGCTGTAGTAGGCACGGCAAGGCAGGGCCCCAACTCCTTTCCCTGCAGCCGCCCCCCCTCCTTGATGGGCGTTCAGCACCTAGGACCCCATCAGAGAGAACTCTAGGGAACCCCTGTGCCGGGAAGCCAATCTGGGGGTTGAGGGAGCCCCCAGTGAGGCCAGTGACTGAGCTAGGCCTATGGCCATGGATGTCACCTTCTGTTGTCCCCGGCAGGGCAGCTGGGACATTCCTGACCTTTCAGGCTGTGCCCGCTGATTGTGCAATAGGCTCTAGGGTGGCTGATGCTAGCCCGCGTCCCTCCCTGGGTTGCCTCACTGGCTCTTGTCCCCCCAGCGCCTGCTGACCCGGAGCAGACGGCCAGGGGGTTAGAGAAGACGCTGATGCCTTCAGACAAGGTGAGAGGGGCTAGCAGAGCCTGGTCTGATGGCCTTGCCTCCCTCTGGGGTACCTCTTCCCTGGATGTTTCGGTTCCTGCCATCTGGAGGGTTGTCATAGGCCAAGAAAAAAGCAGACACCCCTGTGTGTACTGCTGTGGAGTGACAGGCCAGTCTTCCCCTTGGAGCCTCTATTTTTGCATCTGTGAGATGGGTGCAGTACTCCCTGGCACCATCCGGTCTACAGACCCCCGACTCCCCGCCAACTCCCACCCTGGTTCTGTACCTAGCACAATGACCAAAACAGTGGTAATGCACTCATCACATGTCAGGCTCTGGGCTAAGTGCTTTACACATGCTGTTTGATAGTTAATCCTCCCCACCGCAACAGGAAGGGAGCAATGGTACCCCACATAAAAGCTGAAGCACAAAGAAGCCAAGCCATTTGCCAAAAGTCACACAGAAAGAGGAGGTAGCTTGGGATGTGAACCTTGGGGAGTTGGAAGCTAAACAATGGCCAATGCTGCATCCAACCTTGGTCCTGGATAAATGGGAACCACCCATGTAACCCTGTCCCCAAGGTCAGGTCAAGCAGAGTGGCTGATGTAAGACCACTGAGGGCCACAGCAGGGTGGCAGAGCTCCAATCCAACCCTTCCGCTCAGCATGCACCCCACTCTAGAGTCTTCTTTGACTCCCCTCTGCCCTCAGCTTGGCCATATCTGAGCTTCTCAGAGGGCAAAGTACTGCTTGGTTTGCCCTCTGGCCCAAATTAAAACAGACTCTGGCAGCTTAGGGCCCCTCCACCCATTTTTCCACTCCTCCCTCTCCATCCCTCTTCACTTGCATTAATGGAGCGTCTGCTACCTGCAAAGTTGGTCAGGGACCTTGACTCCTTTTTTTAACCAGTCTTTGAAGGAGGTGCTGTCTTAATCACCATTTCCCAGATGAGGCTCAGAGAGGGGGTGTGGCTTGCCTGAGGTCACACAGCAAGTATGGGAGAGAGCTGGGATTTGAACCCAGGTCTCTGCAGGCAAGGTACCCACTTGAGGCAATGTTGGGCAGAAGGACAGGTGGTGAGATTTATTTCAGGGCTTCTCAACTTCACTATTATGGCCAATTCAGAGTCAGATCATCCTCTGTGGGGGGCATTGTGGGGTGTTTAGCAGCATTCCTGACACCCACCCACTCGATGCCAGGAGCATACTCTCTGAAGTCATGACTACCACAGATGTCCCAAGACACTGCCCAGTGTTAGGATCACCGGGGCAGGATCACTTGGGTTTAGGAACACCTGAATTGGAAACAGCACACTCCTGGTTGAAGCTGAGTGGTATCTTGAGGCCATCACAGCCCTTCAGTAGTTTGGAAGAACTAGCAGAAACTGCCCTGTGCTACCGGGTTTCCCTGGTGGCTCAGTAGCAAAGAATCTGCCTGCCGATGCAGGAGACTCGGGTTCAATCCCTGATTTGTGAAGATCCCACATGCCTTGGAGCAACTGAGCCTGTACTCCATAATTACTGAGCCTGTGCTTTAAAGCCCCTGCTCCACAAGAGAAGCCACTGCAATGAGAAGCCCACACCACAACTAGAATGTAGCCTCCACTTGCCACAACTAGAGAAAAACCCACTCAACGACAATGACCCAGCACAGCCAAAAATAAATAAATTTTTAAAAAATGACATACCAAGTTATCAGCTTGGTTCCTATGGCTCAGACTTAATATTTGGCCCTGTACTTTTCTGGTTATTACTTTAAAAAATAATATTTATTTGGCTGCACCAGGTCTTAGTTGCTGCACTAGGGGTCTTTGATCTTTGTTGTAGCACGGGGGATCTAGTTCCCTGATCAGGGATCGAACCTGGGCCATCTGCATCGGGAGTGTGGAGTCTTAGCCACTGGACCACAAGGGAAATCCCCAGTTATCACATTTCTAAATGTGGATCCCCTTCTTTTACTTGAATATATTCATGTTAACGAGCATTTGGTCACCTCAAATTTCTCCCTGTGATGGGGACACCAGGCTCAAAATTTGATGTAAACCAAGATTAGGCAAGATGAACAAAACATGTAATTCTAAGACTTGCTGAGCCCAGGCTAAGGGATATTGGGCACAGAGGGTGCTGGAGCATAGCTGTCAACAGCCAGGGTCTACCACATCTGGGCACCACATGGCTCTGCGATGAGGCTTGATGGACTGTGTCCTGGGAGCCAAGGCTGGCAGTATGTCGGGGTGAGAGGTGAGCTGGCTGGGTGTCCAGGGAGCAGACCCCACTCCCCAGGGTATATCAAGGATTGGGGGGAGGAGGAGATCTGGGATGGGGAGGAGAGGTATCTTTCAACTCTCTGCTTCATCACAAGTCTCTTGCCTCATCAGATGATCTCCGGGGCAAAGGACCTGGTATCCTCCCAGATGGCCAGAACCAAGGATGCTCTCTCCACAGGGATGGCTAGCATTGTGGACACAGCTAAAGGTGTGGTCCAGGGAGGCCTGGGGATGACCCAATCCACACTGACAGTCACCAAGGATGCTGTGGCCAGTGGGGCAACTGGGGCAGTGGGTGTGGCCAAAGGGGCCCTACAGACCGGTATAGACACCACCAAGACAGTAGTAACAGGCACCAAAGATGTTGTGTCCACTGGGCTCACTGGAGCCATGGGTATGGCCAAGGGGGCTGTCCAGACTGGCATGGACACCACCAAGACTGTCCTGACTGGCGCCAAAGACACCGTGTCCACTGGGCTCACGGGGGCAGTGAACATGGCCAAGGGCACAGTCCAGACAGGCATGGACACCACCAAAACCGTCCTGACTGGCACCAAAGACACCATGTCCACTGGGCTCACTGGAGCCATGGGTATGGCCAAGGGTACAGTCCAGACTGGCATGGACACCACCAAGACTGTCTTGACTGGTGCCAAAGACGCCATGTCCACTGGACTCACTGGAGCCATGGGTATGGCCAAGGGGGCTGTCCAGACTGGCATGGACACCACCAAGACTGTCTTGACTGGCGCCAGAGACACCATGTCCACTGGGCTCACTGGAGCCATGGGTATGGCCAAGGGTACAGTCCAGACTGGCATGGACACCACCAAGACCATCTTGACTGGCGCCAAAGACACCATGTCCACTGGGCTCACTGGAGCAATGGGTATGGCCAAGGGTACAGTCCAGACTGGCATGGATACCACCAAGACCGTCTTGACTGGCACCAAAGATGTTGTGTCCACTGGACTCACTGGAGCCATGGGAGTGGCCAAGGGGGCCGTCCAGACTGGCATGGACACCACCAAGACTGTCTTGACTGGCGCCAAAGACACCATGTCCACTGGGCTCACTGGAGCAATGGGTATGGCCAAGGGTACAGTCCAGACTGGCATGGATACCACCAAGACCGTCTTGACTGGCACCAAAGATGTTGTGTCCACTGGGCTCACTGGAGCCATGGGAGTGGCCAAGGGGGCTGTCCAGACTGGCATGGACACCACCAAGACTGTCTTGACTGGCGCCAAAGACACCATGTCCACTGGGCTCACTGGAGCCATGGGTATGGCCAAGGGTACAGTCCAGACTGGCATGGACACCACCAAGACCATCTTGACTGGCGCCAAAGACACCATGTCCACTGGGCTCACTGGAGCAATGGGTATGGCCAAGGGTACAGTCCAGACTGGCATGGATACCACCAAGACCGTCTTGACTGGCACCAAAGATGTTGTGTCCACTGGGCTCACTGGAGCCATGGGAGTGGCCAAGGGGGCCATCCAGACTGGCATGGACACCACCAAGACCGTCTTGACTGGAGCCAAAGACACCATGTCCACTGGGCTCACTGGAGCAATGGGTATGGCCAAGGGTACAGTCCAGACTGGCATGGATACCACCAAGACCGTCTTGACTGGCACTAAAGATGTTGTGTCCACTGGACTCACTGGAGCCATGGGAGTGGCCAAGGGGGCCGTCCAGACTGGCATGGACACCACCAAGACCGTCTTGACTGGCGCCAAAGACACTATGTCCACTGGGCTCACTGGAGCCATGGGTATGGCCAAGGGTACAGTCCAGACTGGCATGGACACCACCAAGACAGTCTTGACTGGCGCCAAAGACACTATGTCCACTGGGCTCACTGGAGCCATGGGTATGGCCAAGGGTACAGTCCAGACTGGCATGGACACCACCAAGACAGTCTTGACTGGTGCCAAAGACGCCATGTCCACTGGACTCACTGGAGCCATGGGAGTGGCCAAGGGGGCCGTCCAGACTGGCATGGATACCACCAAGAACGTCTTGACTGGCACCAAAGATGTTGTGTCCACTGGGCTCACTGGAGCCATGGGAGTGGCCAAGGGGGCTGTCCAGACTGGCATGGACACCACCAAGACTGTCTTGACTGGCGCCAAAGACACCATGTCCACTGGGCTCACTGGAGCAATGGGTATGGCCAAGGGTACAGTCCAGACTGGCATGGATACCACCAAGACCGTCTTGACTGGCACCAAAGATGTTGTGTCCACTGGGCTCACTGGAGCCATGGGAGTGGCCAAGGGGGCCATCCAGACTGGCATGGACACCACCAAGACCGTCTTGACTGGAGCCAAAGACACCATGTCCACTGGGCTCACTGGAGCAATGGGTATGGCCAAGGGTACAGTCCAGACTGGCATGGACACCACCAAGACCGTCTTGACTGGCACCAAAGATGTTGTGTCCACTGGGCTCACTGGAGCCATGGGAGTGGCCAAGGGGGCTGTCCAGACTGGCATGGACACCACCAAGACTGTCTTGACTGGCACCAAAGATGTTGTGTCCACTGGGCTCACTGGAGCCATGGGTATGGCCAAGGGTACAGTCCAGACTGGCATGGACACCACCAAGACCGTCTTGACTGGTGCCAAAGACACCATGTCCACTGGGCTCACTGGAGCCATGGGAGTGGCCAAGGGGGCCGTCCAGACTGGCATGGACACCACCAAGACCGTCTTGACTGGCACCAAAGATGTTGTGTCCACTGGGCTCACTGGAGCCATGGGTATGGCCAAGGGGGCCGTCCAGACTGGCATGGACACCACCAAGACTGTCCTGACTGGCGCCAAAGACACTGTGTCCACTGGGCTCATGGGGGCAGTGAACATGGCCAAGGGCACAGTTCAGACTGGCATGGAGACCACCAAGACTGTCTTAACTGGTGCCAAAGACACCATGTCCACTGGACTCACTGGAGCCATGGGAGTGGCCAAGGGTACCGTCCAGACTGGCATGGATACCACCAAGACCGTCTTGACTGGCACCAAAGATGTTGTCTCCTCTGGGCTCACTGGAGCCATGGGTATGGCCAAGGGCACAGTACTGACAGGCATGGACACCACCAAGACAGTCCTGACAGGCACCAAAGATGTTGTGTCCACTGGACTCACTGGAGCAGTGAACATGGCCAAGGGCACAGTTCAGACTGGCATGGACACCACCAAGACCATCTTGACAGGCACCAAAGATGTTGTGTCCACTGGGCTCACTGGAGCCATGGGAGTGGCCAAGGGCACAGTTCAGACTGGCGTGGACACCACCAAGACTGTCTTGACTGGTGCCAAAGACACCATGTCCACTGGACTCACTGGAGCCATGGGTGTGGCAAAGGGGACAGCCCAGACTGGCATGGACACCACCAAGACTGTCTTGACTGGCACCAAAGATGTTGTCTCCACTGGGCTCACTGGAGCCATGGGAGTGGCCAAGGGGGCTGTCCAGACTGGCATGGACACCACCCAGACCATCCTGACTGGCACCAAAGATATCGTGTCTACTTCAATCACTGGGGCAATGGGTGTGGCCAAGGGGGTTATTCAGGTTGGCATCGACACCACCAAGTCCGTCTTGACTGGCACCAAAGATGTTCTGTCTACTTCAATCAGTGGAGCAATGGATGTGGCCAAGGAGGCAGTCCAGATTGGCGTGGACACCACCACGTCCATCTTGACTGGCACCAAAGATGTTCTGTCTACTTCAATCAGTGGAGCAATGGATGTGGCCAAGGAGGCAGTCCAGATTGGCGTGGACACCACCACGTCCATCTTGACTGGCACCAAAGATGTTCTGTCTACTTCAATCACTGGAGCAACGGATGTGGGCAAGGAGGCCATCCAGACTGACATGGACACTACCATGACCATCTTGACTGGCACCAAAGGTGCCATGTCCTCTGGGCTCAGCAGCGTAGGGCACATGGCCCAAGAAGATATGCACACTGGGGTGGGCATCATCCCAAACTGTTTACCCGACTCCAAGGCTGCCACCTCAGTTGGACTTGCCAGTTCCAGGGCCCCAGATGAAGAACAAACCATCCCAAGCCCCCCTCAGGCTCAGCTCAGTGACCACGGACCTCTGTCAGCTGAGGCCATGTTCAGCCAAGAGGCCACCCTGGGCAAGGTGGATGCTGCTCCCGGGGCCACCACTCATGGCCAGGAAGGAGCCCAGGGCTTTGCAGCACTCCGGAATGAGCTGGAGGAGCTGGGAGAGATCTTCCAGCCCATGAGCGCCGAGGAACAAGGTAAGCACAGCCTGGTCCCAGATCCCAGGGCCACGGTTGTCTGTACACCCCCAGACCCCTGAGGCCCAAGTGGCCTCTCATGAGGACTGAGCAACCCCGTCTTCCCTTCAGCTCAGCTGGTTGCTACCCAGCCCAGGCGGAGGGAGGTTATGGCCGACCAGGGCAGCTACTTTGTGCGTCTGGGTGACGTGGCCCCCGGCTTCCGCCAGCGGGCTTTCGAGCACGCCCTCAGCCACCTGCAGCATGGTGAGTTCCAGGCACGGGACGCGCTGGCCCAGCTTGAGGACGTCTTCAGGGAGGTAAGAGCCTTGCGCCTTCCCAGGCGTGTTCCTCAGCTTCGTGTCGGGGACTGGACGGACACGCACTGAGTACCCAGTATGTGCCCGTCGGCCACTCGGTCACAGGCCTACTCTCAAGGAGCTTGCCTCCTGGGGAGGGAGATGGACACGTGACCCAACACTTGTAGCCAGCGAGGCTGCAGAGAAGGAAACACGACAGTCGTGCAGAAACGGGCAGCAGGGCTGGGGCGTGTCCATTTGGGTCACATCCTGTGGAAAGTGGGGATGACAAGGACAGACAGTGGCCTGAGAACAAGCTAGGTGTGTTCAGAGGAGCAGAAGGGTGACCGGGGTAGGGAGGGTAAAGTAAAGGGGTGAACAGGGCAGGAGGAGCCCATGCAATCTGGGTGGAGTTCAGTGATGCAGGAAAGGGGGCCCAATCAAGGGTGACTTTTTTTAAAATTTTGGCATTATTGCCGCAAGCAGCCGTTCTCTAGTTGTGGCGTCCAGGCTTCCCACTGCGGTGACTTCTCTTGTTGTAGAGCACAGGCTCAGTTGCAGCACGCGGGTTCTGGAACCGGTCTCATTATTTGTAGTGCACAGGCTTACTTGCTCCGAGGCGTGTGGCATCTTCCAGGGTCAGGGACTGAAACTGTGTCCCCTGAACTGGCAGGCAGATTAACCACTGGACCACCAGGGAAGTCCCTCGAAGGTGACTTGAATGCCCTGTGGAGACAGGCACCAGCCAGCAGGGTTGTGCTCTCTCACCGGCTCCACTCACTCCCCAGGCCCAGGCTTTCTCCCCTGCATCACTGCCAACACTCATGCCAGCTCCTCGTGGGTGGTGGGGCTGACCTGTTGCAGTAGTAAGTTAAGTGGCATCCAGTCCATGGTTGATTCAGACAGTGATGGAGACCCAGCTCTGAGGACCTCCAGGTTCTCAAGCTCACAGGTCTTAAATATTGAGCAGCCCCACCTACTCAGGTGGCGAGGAACCTAGCCGAGCTGTTAAGAGTCAGGATCCCTAAGATGCGCTCGGGTGCCTGTGTTTTCAATCAGCAACCAGGGGTCTGTGGTGAACCACATCTAAGGACCACTGCTCCAGCCCAGAGGGTCTCAACGGGGCAGTCCTGTCCCCAGGGAACACTGGGCCAAGCCTGGGGATGTCAGTGGTGGTCACTCGGCAGGACTCTTGGCATTGAGTGGGTGGGAGCGAGGGAGGCTGCTCCACACCCCACAGGGCCCAGAACTGTAAACTGAAGATGGCCTGATCCAACAGAGGCTTTATTGAGGTGGATCACTCTGGCTCCTGTGGGGAGGAGAGGCCACAGGAGTCCAGGAAAGGAGATGGGAAACAAGTAAGGTTTGAAGAGCTGGGTTCTAGATGTATTTCCAGAGCAAAGCAGTCAGGTTAGACACGGGAAGTGAGAGCCAAGACCCTCTAAGGCCTTGGAGACTTTCAGCAGGAGACACTTGGAATTGCCTTGGGTTAGGTGGGTGGTGGGCATTATGGCCTGGTCTTTGACAGGGTAACCTGCAGATAAGCAGGAGCCCCCTGATGGAGTCAACTGCTGGGGCGAGGGCTAGCGGGGGGAGGGAAAGTTGAAGTGCATATTTGGTCCACTTGCCGAGGTCTCAGGATGACAAGATTAGTCAGTGGGGGTGGGGGGTTCCTATGTACCAGGGACCCAAAATACAAGGAGGAAACAGTCATGACAGAGCTCTAATCCAAGAGGGGAAATCAACACAGAAATTCATGATAACTGGACAGTGATAGCCTCTGAGGAGGGAAACAGAGATCTGATGGGGAGGGTCTGGGGCCCCGGCACTGGGCCAGAGGAAGCACATTCCAGGTTGAGTGAGGGGCATGTGCAAAGGCCCTGGGGCAGCAGCACACCGGACATGCTCAGGGACAAGAACGGGCCAGTGTGGCCAGAACAGAGCATCACGGGAGGTTAGCAGGAGGGGAGGTCACAGGCACCTGGAGCCAGCCAGGTAGCCAACGTGAAGAGCTTGGTTCAGGGCCTCTGGGAGATGTTGGGGGTAGGGGTGGGGAGGCGCTGAGCCAGGGTGACAGTGCCGCTGCCATCCTGTTCTCCAAGCGCCTGATGACCTCACAAGGAACCAGGATTATCGCCTCTTCACGTGCCACCCTCTGGCTCCAAAGCGCTCCCCCACGCCATGGGAAAAGTGGACATGAGATGCTGGGCCAGGGAAGGCCACCCTGAGTGTGTCAGAAGGGGTCCCTGCTGAGAAGCCATCACATTTGTGCTGGGCTCTTTTTTTCCTAGATCGAGGAGGCCCAGCAGGCTCCGGTCGGGGATGCAAACAGCCAAACAGAGGAAGCCGCTGCTAGGGAGGTGCGTGCATACCAGTGAGGGGCTGGCAGGCCCGCCCCTTGCTTCCAGCCCCTCACCTCACTCCTTCTGTGCACAGGTGCCGGCCACTGGGGCTCTGTCTAGGGCCTGTGACCTCGTCCAGCAGCTCCATGTGGCCTACAGCCGCCTGGCCTCCGGCCTCCAGGGCCTCCCCACAGAGCTTCAGTGGCAGCTCCAGCAGGCGCGGCACAGCATCTGTGAGCTCTATGGCGTGGTCTCCTCGGCCGCCACGGTGGCAGAGCTGCCAGTCAAGCGGCTGTCTGAGAGCCGCCAGGGTGTGGGCCAGGCGTGGCGGGGCCTGGAGCAGGTGCTGCGGAGAGTGCAGCAAGGCCCTCCACTTGGCTGGCTGGTGGGGCCCTTCACCCTGCCCGCCAATGGGCAGCCGCTGTAGGAGCCCCTCCCCTGCCCAGAACCAGCTCCTAGCCCCCGAAGCTCTGGGTCCTGGAGTTCCACCACACCATGCACCTGGCGCCAGGCCTGTCTGTACCAGGCGGTACCTGCCTCCCTGAGCACAAGCTCGGCTGGTCCTTCTGGCCGAGGAGTCCCAGGCAGCTAAGACTCCCGGTGGTGGGCCTTAGCCTGAAGATCTCGAGCAAGTGTTCAAGAAAGGGTATGGGGCCTGCCTAGAAAATTCTCCACTCCATACCCTGACCAGGGCCCTTTTATCTTTTATAAACTCTGGGGGCCTTCCACCCCAAGTGGGGTCCTTTAGCCACCAGTTAGCAGGCAGCCCTGCTCCTCCATCCTGGGCTCCAGGCAGCTCTGTCCTTGTTCTGAAAGCACATGTCCAGCAGCTAACAGCACACAGCCCCGAACATACCAGAATGCCGTCGTCCCAGGGCAGGCGGGCTCCCACCACCTCTGCTGACCCTGCTGCCTCCGCTGACCTTCGGGGGAGGCCAAGGGGCTTTGTGACGGCAAAGCTGAAGCAACTGAGGGCCAGATAGTGCAGGTGGCGGGGGGGGGGGGGGGGAGTAGTGAGTATATGTCCCTTCCTGATGCAGTCCATCCACCAGCAGCACCCCTGGTCATGGCTGATCACAGGGGTCCAGAGCTGATGTTCTAAGGCCCTGGGCCCAGGAGCTGCCGATGAAGGAATAAAGGGACAGACCCCAGGGAACACATGACAGAAGGTACTCGAGCAACTTCCCTTGAGGTCCTGCAGTTAGGGCTCTGGGCTTTCACTGCTGATGGTATGGGTTCGACCCCTGGACAGGGAACTAAGCCCCCACAAGCTACATGGTGTGGCCAACCCCCCACCCACAAAACAAAACATGCTTGACATGTGTTCAGGTCCTGGTCAAATGCTCCAGGCCAGAGACCAGGGGCTGGGTTGGCAGCCACTGGACAGGCTTCCTTTCCAGCCATACTTTCTTTGAGTCCTCGAGGCATCCTGGGAGGTGGGCTGCACACGAGAGGGTGGGGCCATGGAGGTCCAGTCCCCCTGATGCTGCTCCCAGGACCCGGGCAATGCTGGGGGAGCTGCTGACCACCAGTAGCCCAAGCCTCGTCAAGCGCCCCCACCGCAGAGCCCATCACACCTGCACCCCTACCCCCGCTGGCCACCTCCCTGACAGAGGGCTAGAGATGCCCCCTCTTCTCAGAAATGATCAAGTGCTCTGAGCCCCGGACAAACGTGCCAGCTGTCCCCAGAGGTCACCACGTCTGCCAAGGCAGGACACAGGGACCAGTGTGGGACCTTCCCCAGGCCTTCCCTGCTTTGTTGCCCATCCCAGATGGCCATCAGAGGGGGTGACGCTGGGAACGGTGGTTCACAGAATCCGAGCTCAACGACAATCTCAAGTCCAACCAAACCACAGTTGGGGGGTGCCAGGCCCAGAAAGCAGAACCACGCCCTAGCCTCTAATCCACCAGGACAGAGAGGCTGGGCCACCAGCAGGACACATAACAGAGGCGAGTGTTTAAACAACTGCCATGTGCAGGTGCTTGGATGGGCAACACACACACAGACACACCACACACCAACCCCCCCCCCCCACCATCCCCTTCCCTGGTCTAGAGAAGCTCAGAATGGAGGTGCCACTCGCCCCACGTCCACAGTGAGGTCTGCCCCCAGGCCCTCACCCTCCAATTGTCAGGAACAACAGCCTGTAGCACCCCTCCTAGTATTTGGGGAAAGGTCTCACTCATCCCGTCTCCCTGCCCCTCGTCAGCCCTGCAGGGCCAGGGGCACCATCAGAACCAAGTTCACATCCGCAACTAACAGTGACCTTGTGCTTTAAAAGCTTCTGTCCCTGGACTGGCCCTTGACCACTACTTAGGAAACCAAGCCAATAAAAGTGACTTATTTTTCATTATAAAAACCCTTTATAGTCATTTCATGTGGGTTGGAAACCACAGAAATTAGACAAAAAAAAAACCCAGGGGGACAAATACAAACGAACAGCACAGCGTCTCCCCAACAGTTCTCTGCGCACCAGGAAGGAGCCAGGCCGGCACTGGGCAGTTGCTCAGGACGGCGGGGCCTGGCCACAGGCTGCCCAGCTCAGCTCTCCTCCTCGTCCAGGGACTCCGAGTCCATCCGCAGCCGCTCTCGGTCCAGCCACTCCTTCCCGGGCCCATCCAGGTCGGGGCCCTCCCTCACGGTGCTGGGAGAGGATGGTAGGGGCAGGGTGAGCAGGCCACCTGTCTGTCTGTCCCCTCCTACAGAGCCCAACTCGCTCCCCCTGCAGCCCCGCCACACAAAGGCAGGCACGTTCCCCACGGCGGACGTCAGGAGGAAGCCACCCCACCCCTCACCCCAAGCCCAGGCTCAGGGCAGCTCTGAGTTCAGAGCTCCCTCCACGGGGCTGGGGGGTCAGCATGTGGGGCAGAAGTCCCTTTGGCCTGGACCCCACTGAGAGTGGCTCAGACACTGGGGTGCCTTCTCCAGAAATGGGCCCTGTGGCTGGAAAGACACTTACTCATTGTGTAACAGGTCTTCGGAGGAGCCACCCCCCAGCCCCTCCTCCGAGTTCTGTACTTGCTCTGGCTCCTTGTCCTCGGCACTTTCCCCCTTCTGGGACGCAGCCTCGCCGTTCACAGGAGCTGAGAGGTCTGTGGGAAAGAGGCTCATGGGTCACAGCAGGGGGCTACCATCGGGGACCTCGCAACCCTATCTGAAGAGCGTGAGCAACATGCGAACCTCAAAGGCCCTCAACCCCTTCGTGTCTCTGCTTTCACTGTTCCACCCAAGCCACCAGACATGTGGGGATAGCAGGCTGCGTGTGGGGACAGCAGGCTGCGTGTGGATCCTTCTCTAGCCAGTCCCTGACCTTGCAGCCTGAAGATGCGAGGGGCCGGTCAAATAACGGCCCGCAACACTGGGAAAAACCGTGCCACGGCCAGATCCAAGAGACCAGGAAAAACATGGCCTCTGCCATTCCTGGGCAGCCTCGGCTCTGCCGACTACCTGTCGATGCCCACCTGCCAGGCTGCTCCAAGCATCTCAGCAGGACCATGTGACCCCTCTGCCCCTGGAAGGCACGCCCTCCTGGCCCAACAGCCACGGCCCTTGCTCCTCTTGGCTCACCCGTGGCCCTCCCTCCTCCCAGACCTCCATGACCGCCTGCTCCAGTAACACTCGCACACTTGGCAGCACACACATGGCCTCCCAGACTACCTGACTCTGAGGGTGGTGCCTGTGAGCAGCACAGGGTATGTGGCCCAGGCGCCGGCCACCTTGTGGACACAGCGAGCCTGCACGGCCTGTGCCAATGTATCGTGTCCCCAGGCAGTCTGGGGGGAGCACCAGCCCATGCTCAGGGCCCTGCTGGCCACCTCTGTCCCTCGAGCTCACCAGTGCTCGCCTCGTCCTCCGCCCTCTCTGTGGGGGCTTCCTCTCCAGCCAGCACTTCCTCGGCCTTCTCAGCCTCAGCCCTCTCCTTCTCTGACCCGGTTTTGGTCGCCTTCTGGATGGCCTCGATCTTTGGTCCCAGGACCCGAGACTTGAGCCGGGTGTAGACCTCCGCCGCCTTCTCCATCACCTCCTTGTTAGCCTTGTAGCGGCGGATCTGGCTCACCAAGAGGCCTGGCTCAGGAGGTGCAGCAGCCTCACCCCGGTCCCGAGACCCTCCCTCATCACCACCACCCCTGGCGGTGCCTCCCATGAGCATGGCTTCCTCCTCACTGACCACATGCAGCCCAGCTCCCAGAGCAGGCCCATGCCCCCAGCCCCTTTGATCCCTTGGCCCTGCCATACCTTTTTCAACGTGGCCACGACATCCGTATTCTTCTGAAGGATCTGTGAGGTCACCTGCAGGGTCCCTAGTTCCTCCAAGGCATTCAGACACCTTTTCACATCCTGCAGGTGGAAAGTGCAGTCAGCAGCATCAGCATCTAGTTGAGGGGGCTCTTGGGGCCCAAGAGGGTGGGGAGGGACACCCTGGGGCTCCCTCTATGGGGAAGGGCCAAGTTACAGGGAGCCGGGGACAGTGGGAAGGACCAGGACTCACGTGGCACCACCTGGTGGAGGTGCAGAGAACTACGCCCAAGAGGCCAGGCTGGCCCTCATCTGGGGGGCACCCACCCCGGGTAGCCTGGTTTTGCCTCAGGGTTCTGAGACCTCTCAGGAAGCTCCAGCAGTCAGAGGATGGGGGACCTAGCCGTGACCTCTGTACCCCAAGGAAGGTCTCACCGGATTGTCAACCTTCAGGGCGAACTTGATCTCGCTGTGTAGTTTCTGTAGCTTCTCCTCCACGGAGGGCTCTGCAGGTAGGAGGGCAGGCAGCATCGGGCCTGAGAGGAGTCCCCACTGACAGCAGCCACTTGCTCTTCCAGGGCCACCCCTCGTCCCTCCCAAAGACCCCAGGCTGCAGCCAGTGCTGAGCAGCCCCTCACCTTTTTTCTTCTCAACCTTCCGGTCTGGTGGGAACCCTTCTGACCGCTTCCGGGTCCGCTCCACCTTCACGGGCCTGTGGAGAGTCAGTCATGCCCTTAGCGGGCCCCTGATCCATGTCCCCACCAGGGACCAGGGGCCTGTGAGGGGACCTGAAGCTGCTGCAGAAGGAAACAGTCAGTAGGCCCTGGAAGCCAGGAGGTGGCGGCTCAGGGCCCACCTGATCCAGCTGAAGGCAGCACCTAAGGGGACCAAAAAGATAAGTCCGTCCTCTAGGAAGTGGATAACAAATTTTTTTTTTTTTTTTAAACAAGTGAATAAGGGTCAGTGGTTAGTTACATAAACCCCAGTGCATGAGTTACTAGAGGTTCTGATCCGATGCTAGGAAATAGCAGCAGACATGTTACTGCAGCTCCAATTCCACGTCCTGCTCGGCGGTCTGGGCCGGGTCATCCTCTGCAGGCTGATCTTGGCGTTGTGGGGTAGGAGCAGCCTCTCTGGCCCCCACCCGTCAGATGCCAGGAGCACCCCAGTGTGACAACCACAGGTGTCCC